TAGATGAGGTCTCCCCATGGCTGCAGCTGGCCTGAAACTGTACGTAGACCTGGCTGGTCTCTATCTCACAGAGATCTGCCTGCATCTGCCTCCTGAGTGCTGGGACTAAAGGTGTGCACTACCATTCCCTGCTTGTTTACCGTCTTCCATCTTCTTTATCTCTTTTATTGACTCCATTGCAGACTGACCCCAGGGGAAAGCTTTGAGAAACTCTTCTCCTCTGGGGTGGAGGTGGCAGATTCTAAGCAGATGGAGACTTTTCAAATCCCACCCCCTTCTTTCTTGGGCTCCTGAATGCTTGGCCTGCAGAATGCTTGGGCAGCATTTTCCTTTCTTGTTTTCCCCTCTCTGGTATTTTTCATCATCCTCCACTCTCAATTTCCAGCAACTCAGCTACATGGATCTACTATATTTTATTAGGTTTTCAAATAACCTTCTTGGGTTTAATTTTTATAGTGTTGAGCATTGAACCCAGTGCCTTGATCAAGCAAGGCAGGTGCTCTGCCACTGAGAGCTATACCATTCAAAGACCTACAATAGGTTTTAAGCTAGCAGTGACTTCTTCCTTGAGGGCATACTGCTTAATATTTGGGTTTGCTTCTGTGTGTGTGTGTGTGTGTGTGTGTCTGTGTGTGTGTGTGCGTGTGTGTGTGTGTGTGTGTGTGTGTGTGTGTAGGTCAGAGGACAACTTTTAGGAGTCTGTTCTTTCCTTCCACCATGTAGGGTCCAGAGATGAGGTTGTCAGGTTTGGTTGCAAGCCCATTTACCCACTGAGTCATCTTGAGGGATTCCTCAAAGAGCATTCTTAAACTATAATAGTCAGGAAAATCCTGTATGACATGCTAAATTCTAGCTTGCTTGGCTCCATGTACATGTACCTCGCTCCCTTCTTCACTATGTTATTTCTACTCTTAGCATTGTCAACAGATCAGGTGGGCCTCTAGGTGCTCTGTTTTCCCATAAAAATACTATTTCCATGACACCTAAAACCTGAGTAAAGAAAGGAACAGAACTTGGCTCTATTCTTGTCCTTCTTCAGCAAGGGCACAGAAGCAGATTCAGGTTTTCTGAGCATCCTGCTTTCTGAATGCCTATTTCTTAAGCCATAAGGTGATCATATTTTTCCAAACCCCATGTGGGAACACAAGTTCTGACAAACAAAGGTATATTCGTGGGTACAGCTGGGCAGACTATGCAAATTCAGTGTGACCTTGAGCAATCCAGAATATGTTATTGGTCCTTGGAATTCCTCATATCTGTTTATGTCAAGATAGCTTCAAAAGTAAAATGTGGGGAAGGGAAGGGTGGAAATATCCACCCCCAAGGCCTTTCTCAGTCATAAAAGTGAATAAACTGTTCCAAAGTTCACTGGTGACAGAGACAAATGACAGGATGGCAAACTAAAGACCCTCCTGGATATTCAGTAGATCAACTGATTGTTCTCTTGCTACAGACAGAGTTCTACTTACCCTAGTCTTTGGAGTGCTCAGCAGGCCATAGAGATGAAGTTTCTGAAAACATTTTCAGCCTTCCCTAGAGTCTGTCTTTGTCACTTTTGATCTTGGGGGCTGCAGAAACCTACTATCTGTGGATTTCTACCTGGCTAGGCTTTTGGATTACTAAATGTATTTACTGATGCTTTTGATGGCTGAAATTAAGTCAGTGGATTGAGTAATTTCTCTCTGAATGTCTTTTGTTCCATGAAAGCCCTTCTCTCCTCTGTCCTTCATTCATCCTATCGGTCATGGCTGTTAACTGAACTGAGTGCAGTTTTTTCTCCCCTGTAGAATAGACTGAGTTTGGTGTTCCATAACAATCTTCTATAAATGATGATTGATGCTCTTTCTTTGCCTTTAACTGGATTGATCTCGGTCCAGTCCTGAGAGAAGGCACAGTATAGCCCTGGCTGTTCACAGTGTCACCTTTGCTTCATCTTCCCATCTTCTCTAGGTTCCTGCTCCCTTTTTAGAAATCATTGAACAGGAAATGTCCAAGTTCAGGTCCTGGATTACCAAACTACTTTGCATAATCAATTCCCAGTGTCAGCCCATTAGTGCATGCACAAAAGCTTAGGTGGGTGGAACCATTTTGTGGTTTGTGTGTTTTGAGACAGGGTCTCCCTAGCCCCAGCTGGCCTGGAACTCACTCTGTAGATCAGCCTGCCCTTGATCTCACAGAGATCTGCTTACCACCATGTCCAGCAGGTAGGACTTTTTAGGTAGCTCATTGAAAGCCACCCTGCCTCGAGGTCGGCCATGGAGTTGACCGGCATGTGTGTGATACTGTGTGTATTCCTGGATCTGCACTTCATTTTATCAAGTTCCATACTTATGTAGCATCTGAACTTTAAAAGTATGAGTGAGCTGCAGAGTGTTCCAGATTGGGCTTGGGGTCATGAAAGAACCAAATACCAACAATTTAATGGTAATAAAATAGATGTGTGAGTACATGACATAGAAGAAGAGGAGTCCCAGGGTCAGTGTAGTGCTGGATGAAGGGCCTTGGATTTGGGGTTGTATGGGGAGTGACTAAATAACTAGGTCAAATAGTGGCTATATTTTTAGTTTTTTGAGAACCCTCCACACTTATTTCCACAGCAGATGGGTTAATTTGTCTTTCTACCAACAGTATATAAGTGTTCCCCTCATCTCGCCAGGATTTATTGTCATTTGTTTTCTTAAAGACAGCCATTTTGATGGGTGAGATAGAATCTCAGTAATTCTGATTTGCAT